GTATGTTAAAGTAAACCAGGGCACCAAATCAGAGGCATATGTTTTAAGGCAGTGGGTGATACATTATTAACACTGAGAAATAAGAAAAAACAATATTTATTAGAAAGTCCTTTGTGTTTTTGCATATTCCCTTTGTCAGGGTTTGTAAGAACATTTGCTGCTGATTCATAAACTGTTGTTATCCAACAAGTATTGCTGGAATTTCCTCTTTCTCTACTTTGAATCAAGCAGTGGCTTGATTAGGAGAGATATAGAGCAAGACCACTGCCATATGTTTAAAGGTTAAAGCCAAGTTTTAAAAGATTAACACATAGTTGTTTCAGTTCAAACCTTGAGAATGAATTTGGACTTGTGTTCAAGGTTCAGCAGTCATAAGATCAGAGACAAGAATATGTCTTTCAGTTTGACTGCTTCTCCTTGACTGAAAATGAATGCTCGTAAATAATCTTTTCTTTGCTTGGTAATGGTTGCATGCAGTGAACAATATTTCTAGATGGTTTTCTCCACTCAAACGGTGCCAGCATTGTCTGTCAGTGTTCTTATGTAGGATCAGTTTGCAACTTCAGGTGGTATTTGATGACTCTTAAATCAGTAGGGAGGGAGGGCAGGACCAGATTTAACTGTTTTTTTTTTGCCCTCTGTGTTATTAGTTATGTATGCTTAACGTCACATCTAACTACTTTTACTTGCTTGTATATAATGCAAATTTTGCTTTTATAATGACATAATATATAATTCCTTTTTAGTTAGTTTAGAATGTTTCAGTTTTTAAAATATTCATGACTTACAACTTTATGTATTTACTATACATACAGAAAAGGCCAATATCAGCCCCTTTACTGTGCGCACATGATGGTACATTGTGTACCCCTTCTAAGCCTGCATACTGGTCTTATATTTATGTAATTGCATAACAGATTATGGCTTTCAGATGGCTATGTTTAAAGAGGGTTTGACCCATGGAATGTGCGAGTAGAGTTAGCTACGTAACGATATAAAAGATGAAGATAGAAGATATACTTTATTAATCCCCTATTGGGGAAATTCGTCTTTTCACTCTTTTTGTTTTATTCTTACACACACACACAGGCTGAAATACACACTTCATGCACTTGTGGACATGCAAACAGGGAGAGAGATGGTGGAGTGATGGGCTCACCACATTAGCGGCGCCCATGAGCACTTTCTTGACCCTCTGGTTCCCAAGCCAAGTCCCGGCAGACTGAGCTACTGTTGCCCCATCATATATGATTGTTAAAAAAAACTGTGTTCTCCTGCTGAGTCCTTAAATTGCTAATTATACAGTAAGCCACTCAAGAGCCACTGGGGACCAGACTTTTGTTTAGTCTTCCAGATGGATCAAAGTTACTTAAGCACTTCCTCGTGCTGTCAGTGACATAAGTGGTAAATTCAACGCTCTAGCCTACGTGTAATGTCCAATTATTACATTCTGCCTCGTGTCACTAAGCTAAGCTAAGCTCACACTGCCCTTCTATATTTATGTCTATGGGAGACATAACATATTTGTAGTTTTGTTGCTACACATGGATATTCCCAAGTTTGGTTGTGTGTGTTGGTTTTGGACCCAAACTGTTAAAGTACAGTACTGCAAAACAGTATGAACACTATGATTAATTGCAAAACCAATGCTTCGTGTCCCTGATAAATTGTAAATGATTTATGCGCTGACATGTTTATTACAGACTGTTTTTGATTTGCTGTTTTTTCACCACTAGGGATATTTTAGAAAGAAGAAATAAAGACTCAGTAATTGAAATATGAAAAGCCAGGTTACAAGTTCTGCAAGGGCTGTAAATAGGAAGGAGGTCATCTCTCTAAATTAAATGCAGAAAGCAGCAGCAGAACCCAGCTTGCCATATATTCTCATCTTCCCTCCTGCCCCTTCACAGTTCATTTGGCCTTTTTGTTGTTTGTCATCTAAAGTCTTCCGGGAGACGTGCTGTCTGTTCTGTCGATGTCTATCCATTTGTCTATGGCCTACATTTTCACTGGGGCTGTAAAAGAAAAAAAAAGATCAATATTTACGTCACGGAGAGAAAAAAACATTGGTGAGCACACCGTCAAGCATGAGTAAGTATGTCGGCCATTTGATGATGGTTATGTTATAATTACATACATCAACTCACCCTAGAACTCTCAGTTTGTGGTTGCTCCTTTCCTGTAGTCACGCATCAGCTTCTTGATTTATTCTGATTATCAAAACATCCAATGACATCATCATTCCTCTCCATGACCACATCCAAAATCATAAAACATCAGAGCATTTACTGTTCTTTTTTCTTTCCTATCTCATTGTTTGTCTCTTTCTCGTTTTACTTCTTTTTTCTCGTTCCTTCCCTTCTTTTACTCCACTTTTGTCCATGCTGTATTTGAGGCTGCCTCTTTCTACTTTTAGCCTTTGTGAAGTAGCCGAAATCGGGCATTCAATTGGCATTCCTCTCATATTTGCTTGCAATAAAAGGTGGGGGGGATAGACTTGAAAGGCATAAGGAACACAGGCCGACTCAGGTAAACAGTCAATCTTATAGATAGCAATTATTTTTGCAATAGAGTTACGGATAGGGATAATTTATACTTCCACCTAATTTTTGGAATACACTAACTGTAAGCAAATTAAGACGATTGAACACCTCTCCATTGTCCATGCTTTTCAGACAGTGACATTTTAAAAAGTAAAAGAAGTGAATATAGCACAAAAGGTTGGTTCACAATTCTGAATGCGTACAGCTGGCACTGACCAACTAAAAAAATGGAGGTAATTAAAACACTGAGCCAAGTTGCCCATGCACAGTACCAGCAATAAGCTATAAGCTACGGATATCATGAATTTTCTCACACCTAAACAGTTTTCAGTTCAGCTATATTGAGTGTCTTTAGACAAATCAAATACCTGAGTGCGCAGCTCCTGAGTGAATAAAGCTGATGGGAAACACTGGATCCGGGAATCATCTTAGCAATAAATTTGCTTTTTCACCTTCATTTCAGCTCATTCAGGCCTCTTTAGATGATTGTCTTTCCTTGTGCCTAAAAGACGATAATTAGGTGATGCTTTCCGCACCTGTGGCAGAGAGGAGGACAGCCTTGTCAAAAACAGGACAGATGGAAAGCTTTACAACAGCTGTCCAAGACAGAGAAACTGTGTAATCTTATCTTTGCAGATGATTGTGCCCTCAATGCTGGTGAACAGATAAAAAAATGCAGGCTAGTTTTGATTTCCAGAACATGTATCAAATGAAAAGACTGACAGACTTATGTAAAGGTCCAGTGTGTAACATTTAGAAGGCCCTGTTGGCACTCGGAATATAATATTCATAGGCATGTTTTCATTAGTCTATAGTGACCTGAATTTAGGAATCGTTGCGTTGACGTTAACTTAGATTGAGACGTTTTTATCTACAGACATTGCGGGTTGCCTTTAATGGAGATAGAGACTTGTGTTTTTAACAAGTACTGCCTCGTAATTTCTAAAAAAAGGCAATGATGGAAAGTATTTATTATTAGTAGTATTTATTTAGACAATTGCTCAAGGTGAGGTTTATCAGTATTAAAACAATATAGACTTTGTTAATATGTTCTAAAATATATTTGACATTTGTGCTAAAAATCGTCATCATGTACAATATCTGGCTTCTTTATTTATTGTTGACAAACCAAGATAATCTGTCTGTTTAATACATACTTTTCACTTTGAGTAAGAGTTTATCCAAAGATTATAAAAACATATATAAACACTGTATGCAGGTGGTCTTGAGGTTTGAGAAAGTTGAAAAATGATTTATGAAAGTTTGTGATGATGTAAGTTGTTTATAGTAAAAGATAACAAATGGGGATTCAATGTATAGGTTGAACCCACTCCTTCATCGACATCAATATGAGATAGATCCAACCTTTTGACAAAAACATTAAGATTGCAAATGTGGACATACTGATATTGATATAACCCTTTTTGCAGCCCTAAATAGGTTTTAACAACAGAATAAATTAATCCAGTTTGAGATTTATGAGATTCATGTTTAGAAAGGTACAAGCTTCAAAAGAGCAACCCTGCAATAGTGCAGGAATGTGTTTGGGGGAAACCTCCTATACACAGAGCTCTTTCTGTGAAAAGGTCAAATCATTCATTCGTGCAGTTCTTTTTCCTCTCTTCTGCAACCTTTTCTTACCATCCCCTTGTGCCCTACCAGCCAGACTTACTCCCTGTGTTTATAAGTTGGCCCATGTATCATAAGCTAAAACTAAGCTGCCCTTTACCTCGTGTAGAAATAGTTGGAAATCCAACTGTTTGAGAGCTTTTAAACTATTTTGACAGCTCCCTCTTTTTTCCATCACCCCCATGAGCACTGGAAACTGGCGTTGTGTATGTGTGTGTCTAAATGAACAAGTGTGCGTTGCTCGCCTTTCCCGTAACCTGACATGAAAGATATTTCACAACTTGTGAAGTAGTGTTTTGTGAGACACCAGGGTGCTCAGTGAGATATCATTGTACAGTACCATGTGCCCATAAAGGAAAGAAATCCTGTTTTCTTACAGTTCTATTATGTAGTACGTATGGATGGCTGCCAGTAAAAAGTTACATTTAATTTAGCTTTGGGCTTGGTGCTGGCAGAATGGCTCCCACTGGACCAGGTAAAGGTGACACTCACAACACCAAAGTCAAATGGCACAATCATTGATAAGGAAAGACCTGCTTTTCTCAAATTCATTCATGACTAAGTTCATGTTGTGCACCATTGTTTTTCCTGTGTTGAAACATGTGTTGGAACCAAAACATGTGGTACTGTTTTGTTTAACTAAGAACAATAGATGAAAGATAATGTTGAAAGATTTCAGTTTGCCTTTTTTTCTTTTTTTTTGCCAAAAAGTATGATAGATGATAAAACAGTACAAATAACATTCCTAAAGTGACCTGTTTATATACCCTTTTTCTATTGTTTTTTCTGTCTTCTTTTAATCTATCCTTTCTTATTTCCTTCTACCAGGTGAGGTTCTGAGCTTGATGGATGATCTGTTCTCTGGTTTGGGTTCATCCTGTGTTGTTGCCGGGAGGAGAAGTGGAGACCATCCTCACTCTGTGCTATATTCAGTGGTCTTCAAGTGCCTGGAACCTGACAGTCTCTACAAGTAAGTCTGCTGATGACTTTGCCAAGTTTGCCAAATCAATCAAGTAACTGATTTATTGTGGATGTTTATTTCTTCACCATATGCATAACCATGAGTCATGAATTGTGTTGCCTTGTAGTAAGTGCAGAAATTGTTTCAAGGTTCCTGCAAAGGTCTAAAAATTATTTCCATTTTTCAGTCGATGTAAAACAAAACATGGAAAATGATTTTTAAACTTATGGGGAAAATATGTGTTGTGTGATGAAGCTGTATACAATACACCAATCAGCCATAACAATATGACCACTGACAGATGAAGTGAATAACACTAAATATATCGTTATCCTGGCACCTGTCAGGGAGTCAGTTAGGCAGCAAGTGAACATTTTGGCATCAAAGTTGTGTTGTGTTAGAAGCAGGAAAAATGGGCAAGCGTAAGGATTTGAGTAACTTTGACAAGGGCCAAATTGTGATGGCTAGACGACTGGGTCAGAGCATCTCCAGAACTGCAGCTCTTGTGGGGTGTTCCCGGTCTGCAGTGGCCAGTAACTATCAAAAGTGGTCCAAGGAAGGAAAGGTTTCAAGGCTCATTGATCGGATAGGGAGCCAAGGCTGGCCTGTGTTCAACAGATGAGCTACTGTAGCTTAAAATGCTGAACAAGTTAATGCTGTTTCTGATAGAAAGGTGTCATAATACACAGTGCGTCACAGTTTGTTGCATATGGGCTGCATAACATTATGACCACCCCTGGCTACTAAAATTTAGACTTGGAATGTCATCTTTCTGATGCAGAAGGTACAAAAGCAAATGCTGGCTATCAAGTACTAATATTGTATAATTTGGCTCATCTCTATGCACAGAAGCAAATCAAATTCCTGGATAGGGAATGGACTCTCTCCTTTTCCAGTATTGCCCGTGTGAGAAACATTTTCCATGGAGTACAAGAGAGATGCCTCAATGCAATTCTGTGTTGGAGCAAGAATGGCACACTGTTGTGCCCAGATGACCTGTCCTAGGTTTCTGTCTGTTAA